TTCTTGGCAAGATTATCAACTATCTCATTTTTGTAAATTATAGTGTAACATAGGTACAAATAAATAGGAAAAATAAAAGGTGAAAATAATAATAAATTAGAAAAATAATAAATGTAATATTTCCCCTGTGCTTTACTTGATTAAAAGACATTAATATATATTTACTAATTATGTACACTGTTAAATTAATGCCAAATATTTTAACAACCCTTTTATTAATATTAACTTTCAATTAGAACAAGTTATCTATTCATTTAGATCAAAAATGAAAATCAACCCGATAATGAGTATCGCTAATCATATATAGTGTTCTTACTTAAAACGATTAGAATGTACCGTTTCAATGTACCTTAGCTGTTCTGCCCCCCCCCCCTACTCCTCCCAAGTGGCTCAGCAGCAAGTCTGAAGGCTTATAACGTTAAAAACTTCGTTTCAATACCCCATCGTGGGCACAGCACAGAAATCCCATTGTGTAAGTTTGGGCTTAACAACAAACAAATCCTCGCTGTCAACGATATTGTCGACCGTAAGTCCTGTAATATCTTACAAGGTTCGGCTCGCTTAGGAGACTTAGATTTGTCCAAACCTCATATACTAAGCTAATAACGCAAAATAATCTCTTTAGTAAAATACAATAATGACAAACCAAGCATAACAAACTAGATGGATACATTAAATATCCAATGCTATTATAGAAATTATATAGTATATGTTACTTATGGCAAATATAAACATTAATTGTTAGCGTCAAGTTCTGTCGTAGATATAATGTTTGTTTAACAATGTAGCATCAATATAACTGTGTATGACCAAAACTTTAAACAATCCTCCTCAAAAACATCTTGTGATCAATGAAAACTCAACACCTCAGAAAGTGTAACCTTAGAAGATCCTTACGTCTGAGATAAATTGCTACAGCGCTTGTTACTGTTTAGCTGTAAAGTCAAGTAAGCGGGACAGTCCCAGTAACAGAGCCTAAAACTAATATTTTTGAAGACAAAATAAACCTGTATTGTGTAGCGAATAGCTCGGATAATGGTACTCAAATTAAAATATAATCATGTTAAGTCTAATAACATGAAAAACTATATGCTAAACATTCTATGAAGTGTGTCTATCACAACTAATCTAACCTTACAAAATACGTGGAGTGTGTAAAAGAAAGTAAGAAATTAAGTTAAATACTCAATAACAATCAAAAAGTGAGCGCGATACGATTTGAGAAAGTTTAATGATAATAATAATAATAAGGCAATGGTTAAAAGGACTAGGTTTTTATATTTGATGTACGCAAAGCACAGATATCCTCTTGTGTAGCTTTGTGCTTAACAACAAACATACAAAAATAATAAGTATGGCAATTAAAGTAATCAGCAAGATCTAATGTAATTCATATAATGACGTAAGGTTATACATTACAAAAATGGAACTGTTATTTACCTAATATTAACTATAATAACATCTTAAACTAACAGGATAACAAAACTA